TTTTATTTCTTTAGTCATAGACTCAAAGGTTGCTATGGATGCACTCTGTATGTTGAGTGTAAAATACTTGCAAGCTTTTTCGAGTCAGCGTATATTAGTAGGTATGTAATAAATGGCCACTCGTAGTCGAAGATACCCGTCTACTAGGATGGCTAGCCAATCCCTATTGCAGACGGTCGCTCAGGCACATTTATGTTTGCTCAACACCCACAGACCCCACCTGTGGTTTATACTGCAACTATGCAGAGCAGATCTTAGTTACGGTTTCTGGGGGAGAGCGTGTTATGTAGCGCGTTAAACAATTTGAGCAAGGCCAACACGCTAAAACCCTCGGCCACGATGACTTGTGCCTTCGTGCTATCGATGGTCCACAAGAGTTCCGTCTACCCACAAGGCTAGTTTCCAAAGGTGCCGCACGCTGGGATCGACCTCGATCCAGTCCGATAACATCAGGAAGTCTCCTTCCTGACAAATAAACCATGGTGAGATTCGAACCTGGGACTCATAACATAGTTGATGGGCTTGAGCAAATGAATGGTAGAACAGGGTTTGGGAGAAATAACAAAAAGACAAAATTTATTAAGAGCTACAAGGGACAAGAAGAGGTGGAGGGTCATAATCGCCTATGCCCTGAAGGGACAGAAGTGGAAGAATTCCACGTCCTGCATTTTGATAGTGGATTCAAGGTAGGTATCATTATTGCTTTCATTCCAGTTCCAGATTATTGGAACAGTTTATTTTGAGTTCCATTTCTTGGAATATTTGGTAGAGGATACAAAACTGCTGTTTGCTAGATTTAAAAACATAAAAAAATATTTCATCTATTCTTGGAAGCCATTGAACAGCTATAACCACAGGTTAGCCACGCGCACTTATCCACCGGAGTTATCCACCGGAGTTAAATACTTTCGATCGACAAAGTCTGTAATCTTCCAAATTGGGAACCGAATTTTGGAAGGAGATACAGAATCCTATTACTTTCATTTCTCTGAGGCAGCCGCTTAAATAACCAGATATCATTTTCACAAGTAATGTAAAGTACTGCGTTTGCGTCAACACGATGAGTAAAAAGAAAAAAAAAAAGACTTTATGTTTATAAGATGCACAGGACATTGTTTATTGCGAGCTTCTCTATTAGAATATCACCGGCGACGTGCGATCTATGCAGATGGTGGTTGATGCACTTGTAAAAAGAAAGGAAAAAATTAGCAACAGCAGCCCTTAGGACGATAAATATCTATTCATGCTTGTCAAGAATGACCAATGAAAAACACTGGATCCTCTCACGTGACGGCTACGGGCTGGAATTTCTAAATTATAATAACGACGTCATCCTATCAGAGAGAAACGGAACTTGCGTATCTGTTGACACGTAGTGATAAATAAGCCGGCGATTATATTGAATAAATGTTCTATGCGCTAATAAAATGATAAAAGACTAATAATAATAATAAAATAATAAAAAGAAAATATAAAAGAAAATAAATATGAAAAAGAAAAAATAAGAAAAAGAAAATATAAAAGAAAATAAATAAGAAAAAGAAAAAATAAGAAAAAGAAAATATAAAAGGAAATGAATAATAGAAAGAAAAAATAATAAAATAAAATAAAAAAGAAAATAAAAAATATATAAAACAAAAAATAAAAATAAAATAAAAATAAGAAAATAAATAAAACAAGAAACTAATAAAAGAAATTTGGAGTGGCAAGTAATAAAATACATTCCATTGCAGAAACGTGTGAGTTGCCCCCACCCCGCCCTTATTGGATTTTTTTTTAAAAAAAGGTTTCTTATAGCCTCAGTTTCGAGTAAAAAAAAGTTCGATGGGTTAAGCTATTGTTAACAGATTCGTCTATAACACTGTGAGGTAGTTTCGAGAATTGAAACCTCACGAGTTTCAACACGACTGTCACTACCTCAAACAAAACACAACTCAATAAATATTGCTTCCTGGCTAAAACAGTTACCTTTATGCTACCATTTTCAATCGAATGTTAAACTGACAGCGGGAAAAAGGCTGAATCACCATGTTTCTTTGTGCTCATCACATATTTTCCATTTTAAGATAGAAGAAAACTGTATAAATCTGCCGTCATATATAAGACACCAGAAGTCATGAAACGAAGTGACTATTTTTGTAGTGATGCTATATCATGCTTATGTTATAATTTTTAATAAATATCATATATATATATATATATGTGTGTGTGTGTGTGTATATATATATATATATATATATATATATATATATATATATATATATAAAATATATTTAAAAATATGATTCCAAATCGCGACATAAGAAGTCCCATGTTTCAAAATAAGAGCCGAAAACTTCAATATAATTATTTAAATTAAATTGAGTTTAAGCTCTGTTCCATCTTCAAGCGAAATTTTTTGGGGGAATAACGTGTTTCTATATATTTTCACATATTTTCATATATATATATATATATATATATATATATATATATATATATATATATATATATATATATATATATATACATCATGCGTGTTTATGTGTGCGTGTGTATGTAGATTTAATAGGTCTGTTAATGAAATTTGAGGAATAAAAAATGATCAAATATTGGCAATAAGACTGATATTATATATATATATATATATATATATATATATATATATATATATATATATATATATATATATATATATATATGTATGTATATATATATATATATATTTTAAGTTATGAAGAACTTGGTAATCCGAATGGGTAATCCCAAGGAGGATGAAATCCTGAAAGCTCAATGTAAATCCAGAGCTAATATTTAAAAGAAAAAACAGACCACTTTAAGGTACCATTATAATAATTTTTTTCACAGAGTCCTTTTAAAGGACTCTGGATCATCAGATAACACTTCAAAAATGAAATGAAACGAAAAATTAAATTAAAATTGATTATCCGTTTTAATTTAATTTTTCGTTTCATTTCATTATCAATTTTAATTTAATTTTTCGTTTCATTTCATTTTTGGAAGTGCTATCTGATGATCCGGAGTCCTTTAAAAGGACTCTGTGAAATAAAAATTATTATAATGCTACCTTAAAGTGGTCTGTTTTTTCTTATATATATATATATATATATATATATATATATATATATATATATACATTTTTGTAGGGACAACGGTAATGGGAAAGCAAGGCTGTATTTCCTCGGCTGATACTGATTTTTTTTTTATGAGCGCAGCATGCAGGTCCTTGTGCATTCTTATCGAAAATCGATATTCAGGGGTAGTTTCTCTGGGTTTTGTAACTGAAAACTTTCTGCAGCCAATTATGTGATTGTACGTTCTGTCCATGCTGGGTTCAGGCGAGCTGTACTCGCTATTTCCACCAGTCCATATGTTCACACCAGGTTATAGGAGAGGTGCGCACTGAACAGTTGCTTCCCTGGACACGTGCGTCCCAGGACAAATGTGTCCCTGGATAACTGCGTATCTCTGATAATTTTTGAACCTTTTAAAGGCAATTACAATAGATTTTGTAAACAGAATAGGTAGCAATCATAAATTTAAAAAATAAAGAATAAAAGGAATAAAATAAAAAAAAATAAAAGTTTATTTTTGTTTAAAATGCAATAACATATTAACACTGTTTCAAGATTGCTCTGCACATCGTCAGTATGTTACTGTTTCATCTGTTTTTTTTTCTTATGATAGTGGTAGCTGTAATTTTCCTCGTCCACAAATATTTTTCTATCAGTGTTTGATTTTCAGAACTTAGCGATGGGTTCCAAATAAACCTATAATCTATACAATCCAGAATCTATTAGATGCTTATGGTACGCACTACTGCAGTGAACTGAAACAGACAGCTTAACTTTCTATTGCTTTAAAAAACAAATATTTCTCATTTTTTTAAAATTTATAACTGTCTTTCTGTTTGTTTCGAGTAATTAAAGATATTGCTGTGTAAATTTCTATATTAAACAACTCTTTAAAAAAATATTATAACTTCAAAGAATTATCAAAGGTACGCAATTATCCAAGGAGGTTTTTCTCGAGTGACGCAAATGTCAAGGAACGCAAACGTCCAGGATCGTAATTGTCTGTTAGGCATTTATCCGGGAAGCAAATGTTCCGTACGCAACAGTCCGTCCACCCTTCACAGCTACAACCAACCATGCCAAGTGCACATCCCCTTTTAAAAAAAAGATGAGAAAATTACTAAGGAGAAGGCTTCACACAGACTGTGAAACAGACTCTCAAAAGAATGCTTCTCTGACTACTAAAATTATAACCTCTTCAAGTCTATGGCCAACTGTTAACAACCCTACATATCATCATGATGAGCACCACTTACTTTTCTTGTACGCCCTTCGCAACACCTTCATTTAGTAAATTTCTGCCTTGAGTTGCTCTCCATCATTGTATTGAAGTGAACAATAGTATAAAATGTTTATGCGGAAACAACTACGAGGCATTACTTTCGGAGCAACATTCGATTCTCTCTCTCTCTCACTCTCTGGGTGTGCCTGTGTGTCTCTGTTTGTCTCTGTGTATCGGTATGTATGTGCGTCTGTGTTTGCTATAAATCTATGTAGATAGTTTTATACTTAGGCTTTCAAAAAAAAAAAAAACCTGCAAACCAAGTGATGCAAGTTTAGAGATAATCGAAGAATTCTTGCAGAAGAACTAATGTGAAATCGAAAATGCCTCCGAAAAACACAAAACACCAAGCATATCCTAATAATCCCTCTTTTAGAAAGAACTGCTTATTTACTTACCATTTATGACTTTATTGCTATTCAAATTACTTATGTATCGCATTCGTCACGACTGTATATTAAACCAAGATGTAAGTGTCCTCAGTACAAAGCGATCATGAATAAACTTTTATCTCATTAAATTTATTTTATTTCGTCGTTCAATTTTATTTTTCGCTTTGATACAAACCCCGTTTGACTAAAGTTTAGTTGGTTTTAAGAATAAAATTATTCTATATCTAATCTGCTAAACCTAAAATGTTTCAGACTTCTTTTCTTCCTTTTTTTCGTACATGTGTATCTCTTCTTGTTTTCCAGCTTTTTCGCCTTCTTTGTAATCTATCTTTTTCATCCAAATTGTCTTTTCTCTTCTTGTCATTCCTCTTTGCTGTCATCCTCCTTTCTGACCTTGTTCTTTTCTCGTTTTTTTGTTTTGTTGGTATCTTCTTTTCTTCATTTCCATTGCAATTTTCACACTGTTTGCTTTTGTGTCAATTACTTAATATTTTATTGCCCTTCTTTCTTTCTCGTCATTTTATCCTTTCTTTCTCATCTTTTCTGTTCCTCTTCTTCTCGTCTTTTCTGTTCGATTCTATCGTCTATTTTGTCTTTTCTCTCGTCTTTTTGTACTAGCTTTTTCTTTGTCCTTACTTTCTCGTCTTTTCTTTGTCCTTTTTGTTGAGTTTTTTTTTGTCCTCTCTTTTTCATCTTTTTTTCCTTTCTTGTTCATCTTTTTTCTCCTTATTTTAAGGTCTTTTTGTTCTCTCTTTCTCGTCTTTTTATCCTTTCTTTTTGTTCTCTCTTTCCCAACTTTTTTTTACTTTCTTTCTCATCTTTTTTGTCCTTTCTTTCTCGTCTTTTTTTTTTCTCTTTACTTTCTCATATTTTTTCTTTCTTTTTCATCATTTTTTTCCTTTATTTTATCGTCTTTTTGTCTTGTTGTTCTCGTCTTTTTTGTCCTTACTTCCTCGTCTCGTTATCCTTTCTTTTTTATCCTTTCTTTCTTATTTTTTTCTTCTTTCTTTCTTTTCTTTTCTGTCCTGCTTTTCTTGTCATTTATTTTTGCCTTTCCCTCTCCTGCCTTTTGTATTGTCATTTCTTTCTTATCCTTCCTCTCTATTACGTCCCTTTTACTCTTTCATTCTCTTACTTCCCATATTCCCTCGGCATTACTTTCCTTCTCCCTTTCTGATTTGAAACTCTTCTCTCCTACATCTTCTTGTTCCCCTCTTTTTAGGCCTGCTTATCACCCAATTCTCTGCTGGGTTAAATTTTCTAGTTTTCTACTCCTTTTTAAATCGAATTACACGTCGTCTTCTCCTCTTCTCCTCATCCAAAGTAAATTTCTTTTTCTTAAGCTAAGTGTCTCTTCTTTATTTCTCTTAGATTTATTTAAATCACTTTTTTTCACGACGTTCTGCTTCCATGTTTCACTCAAATTATTTTTTTCCTATTTTTCTTATATTATAATCCTGCTACTGCTTTTACTCTCATATTTATGCACCAAAACATCCATAAATATGCGTAGTCCATATAATATATATATATATATATATATATATATATATATATATATATATATATATATAGGTGTCTGTGCGTGTCTTTGTGAGACTATATGCTTATTTCAGAATATACATTTGGAATATATATATATATATATATATATATATATATATATATATATTCATTTATTTATTTATTTTTTTAGAAAATCGGGTTAAATTCCATCGCCTCAGACACTTTCACATGAGATTCAATATTCTATTCTTTTGTTGTTTCTCAGCTCGCTTCGCCTCGTGAAAGAAATAAAAATCGCTCTGCCATCTTTGAGTGACAGTTCTACAGAACAAGCAGTTGCCATTACCTTCAACCTAAAATGAACATTCGTCTCTCCTCTTCTACTCTCTTCATTTTCAACCTCTTGTTTTTCTCATTTTTCCCCCGTGTCTGACGCCCCCCATCTACCCGACTCAAGCTCGTTCTGCGCATGTAAAATCCGAGTATTGAATAACCCATGCTTTCGCGTCGAGTGTTACCGTCTGCGGTCCATACATTGTGTATCTATTAAGAAGGTCAGTTTTCTATAGCAGATCGTCTGTGAGTTTCAACGATTTATAGATTCGATTTTTGGGGGTTTTTTTTCTAAACAAAATTTGATAAAAAAGAAATTTTTTTATAGAAAAGTAAGTCGAGTAACTGATGAACAATTCCGCGATCTTTTTTTTTTTTTAATACTAAAGACAGTTGAATAGCATGCATAATCGATGATACCAATATGGCCGCCACTGAAAACCGGAAGTTTTACTTGATGCAATATCCGCATTTCACCGGCCAATTATCGTAAAACGTGAGAAAAATAATTTATATTTTCTTATCAGTTTAAAGAGTTCCAAACCTTCACATAATTTTTTTTTTATTACTTTTTTATTTTATATTTTTAGAGATTCAATTTCTTCGTTTCATTTGAACTGTTTGTTTATTCTTTCCCAAGGTTACTTGGACATGTTGAAATTTATTCTTCGAATTTAAAAGGCTACTTTAAGGAATATCTCAGAATACGAGGAAAATCGTTATTAAAATATATTAAATCGATTTCAGTGTCTGCCTATTTCATTATTGAATTCTGTGTGCTTCAATAAAAGATTTTATTAAGAGACATAAATATTATTTTATCATATATATATGTGTGTGTGCGTATATATATATATATATATATATATATATATATATATATATATATATATATATATATATAGATATAGAGAGAGTCATAGAGAGAGGGAGAGAGAGAGAAAGGAAAGCATTTTGCTATACCTGTGTATGTATTTGTATAATCCTGTCTATCGAGAGTGTGTCAAGATTTACGCTGCTTGACACGTAGTTATTAGCCACATATTGACACAAAATTTTCATTACAGAAATAAATTAAGTGCATTGACAAGGAAGATGATTATGTTATATTTATTATCTAAAATAAAGAATCTTTTCCAAATTAGGCTTCGGGATTATTGATTTTCCTATTCAAATACTTGTATGTGTAAAACAGTATATCTATGTCCATATACATATCTTGGTGTGAAACTTTTCGGTATTTGGGCTTAAAATATAATCCGTATACATTCATAGCAATAGTATTATTCAACAACATTTGGCCTTCCTTAATACTACTTCCAGTCTTTAACTAATATTTATATTCCATAATATGAAGATGTTGAAAGCTAGCCTGAAATATAATATGTATCTGTTATTGCATTTCGTTTTGCACACAGGTTATAAAGAATTTTTTGTCATGTGTGAAATTTTCCTTATTCCTTAAAGTCATGTATGAATCATTTTCATAGAATTTGAACTTTTCCTAAAGATATAAATGACGTATAACCGTTCAACGATTGCAAAAGCAATAATGCCTTAAACAACGCTTTCTATAAAACTGTGTAAAAGCCACATAAGGAACTTTTGTATGAATTGCATGCACGCACACATTATATATATATATATATATATATATATGAAACGTTAACGGAAAGATATAAAAATATATATAAATCTGAATTTTTCCAAATTAGCCGCTATACGCCCATATACATTAATTCTCTTAATTTCCCTTTCCAAATCACTCTTTCCCTTTCTTTCCTTAAAACCCTAATTCCACCACTTATTTCTAACGTCTTTACTTCTCATATATCTCTCTATATCGTTTCCTTTGGGATGACCTATTAAATAGGTCAATGTCTGCTCATTACCCCACTTCCTCACTATTAAGTATTGTAATAAAAATAAATTTAAAATCACTCCTATCTCACTCTTCCCTCTCTAATTTCGACCATGTCTGTCACCATCTCTCCCTACTCAATATATCACCTTACATATACTTAATACTACCCCTCAAAATATGTATGCAAAAAAATATATATGTAAATTAAATTCATTTTTTCGACCTTGGAATTGTGAGCTGATGAGCCAGGGAAAAAGAAATTCCCTGTGGAAATAAATTATAACCAATGGACCCTTAAAGTTGTCTTTTTTAATTGAATATATATATATATATATATATATATATATATATAAGTTATGAAGAACTTGGTAATCCGTATGGGTAATCCCAAAGAGGATGAAATCCTGAGAGCTCAATGTAAACCCAGAGCTAATATTTAAGAAAAAAACAGACCACTTTAAGGTACCATTATAATAATTTATTTCACCAGATTTTTAAAACTATCATCAGATAGCATTCCAAAATGAAATGAACATGTTTGGAAGTGCTATCTGATGATCCGGAGTCCTTTAAAAGGACTCTGGTGAAATAAATTATTATAATGGTACCTTAAAGTGGTCTGCTTTTCTTTTAAATATTCATATATATATTGAGAATCCCGAAATCATAAAAATCTATATAGGTTGCGCAAGCTTCTGAGTTCAAAAAGAGGTTCGATCAACATCAAACTTCATTGAGGATAAATAAATACAGAAATCAGAGATCCCTTTCAAAATATTTCTGGCACTTAAAAGAATCCAATAAAACACCTACAGTAAAATGGAAATTAATAAGAAAAGCTAGAATATATAGGTCATTAAATGACCCATGTCCTTTGTGCATACATGAGAAACTATATATTACTAAGTTTATAAAATATAAAAATTTACTGAATCAAAGAAAGGAAATAGCTATTCTTTGCCGCCGTTGTCAAAAATTTTCCTTAAATAATATTTAAAAATGAAATAAAAAATGATAATTGGTAATATACATACATATATTTGATATAAAAAATAATTTTAAATAATTTAAGTAACTCTATTACACTTACTTGTTTTAAAAAGAAATATAGTCTATTAGTAATTAACAGTAAAAATGTTTTATATTGTAGTTAAATAAAACGTATTCTAACCCAAACACCCCTTTTAGAAAGAATATTTAAGTATACAAGTACGAAAAAAATGCCGAAAAACTTTTGCCGTTAAAAAAAAACAAAAAAATCAGACGACATGCGTTAAACGGATGTCAGAATTAGTTGAAAAATACATCCCTACCCTCCCTAAACTTAACCTCTTTTTCGAACGTAACTCATAATTGATACAACAATAGTTAATAAAAATGAACATGCCACCGCGCCTGTCTGAATTATTCGATTTCTCTGTATCCTTGGAAACAGGAAATTATGAATTTATATGCGCGTTTAAAACTCAGTAAATTTAAAAATAAATTATTGCAAAATTCGCTTGAAAATGAAACCGAACTAATGCTTTTAATTTAATTATAATTAAATTTGAAGTTTTTAGCTTTAGTTTTTGAAACATGCTTAATACTGTGAAGCGAAGAAACTATATTTTGAATCAGTTAATTTATAATATATATATATATATATATATATATATATATATATATATATATATATATATCATCATATGTGTGTAAATAAAGTTTATTGTATAATATATATATATATATAATGTATATAAATATTTGGTATAAGGTTTTGAATTTAAAATTTAAATGTAGTTATTTTTTTAAATCCGAGATTATCTTTTGTATGAATAAGAAATAATGTCGGATGGAAACAAATTCATTAATCTATATCTATAAAACAAAAGATGTCTGTCTGTGTCTGTCTGTGTGTCTCTGTGTTGTTTGTCTGTCTGTGAGTGTATGCTCTTTATGCACATCCACATTTCTCGACAGGTTTTGATGAAATTATACACAGATCTTAAGACGAACTTTTCTATCTCCAAAAATGTCCAAAATAATTTGCCATCATGCAAGAAATAAGATAGTGTGCTTTTAGCGTGGTTACCTTCCGTATAACGATAAACCACCAAAAAGTTGTTACAAAAGCCTATTTTTTCGGACATAACTCCCCGGTTTTTTCCTTCGATGTTTTCCAAATTTGTCATGTAAATTACATATGACACACAATTGCCTTGCGTGAATGTTTATTTAAGTTAAGTGGACGAAATCTGGGACAAACTAGTTCAAAAATTGGCTTTTCCATTTAGCCAATAGTTTCTTCATATGATTCCATCCTAAATTGGCATTCGAACAACTTTTGATACAAAGATTGTTTGAGAAGGGTTATTGAAACGTTAAAAAGGAAACATTCCACAAGAACCTCTTATTCACCTCAGCGAAGCTGAATAACAGTAAATGTGCAAGAAGGATGGGGCGTTCATACGATTGCATTTGCAGTTGAATTAAACTCTGTCTCTTCATCCCTGTTTTAGTTTGATTATTAGATTTATGAACAGTGCCATATTATTTGAAAGTTATTACGGCCATAGGAAATGTACTAAATATCTAAAACATTGACACAATTTAACCCCGAGCAACGACCACACAAGAAGGTTTTAATGGTGGAATTTCTTCATTAAGAACAACCAAACACTTGCTAAGTACATAGCGTAAAAAGATGAGTAGGGAGTAGCTTAGTATACCAATGGATAATGCATACAGACATTTCTAGTCAGGGGGTGAGGCTATATATTGGGGGTGCGGTTATACATTTGCACTCATGTACACACAGGAAACG